AAACCATTTCAGGTGACTACCTCTTGAAGCTCATGGAGAGAATGCCAAGAGTGTGCAAAGCAGTAATCAGAGCAAAGGGTGGCTATTTTGAAGAAACTAGAATATAAAACATGTTTTCAGTTATTTCACCTTTTTTTCTTAAGTACATAACTCCACATGTGTTCATTCATAGTTTTGATGCCTTCAGTGAGAATCTACAATGTAAATAGTCATGAAAATAAAGAAAACGCATTGAATGAGAAGGTGTGTCCAAACTTTTGGCCTGTACTGTATATTAACCCTTCTAACTCCACAGGTGCGCGGGCGCTCCCACGCGACAGCGTCGGTACTTTGCAGAATATCTCGGGAACCACACAACAAAACTTAATGGGGAAAATTGCTATCACAAGCATACTCTTTGGGCGATCTATGGTGAGCTCGGGGCAATTCTAGCCTTTCGAGAAGGTTTTCAATCCAGCCATTAAGTGCGGCGTTTTTTCCGGGAATTTCGCGCGTGAATTACACCGTGATAACTCCGTGATAAGTTCATTATTCATTACATTTTGTGATAAAAACGTGTAAATTATGTTAGCGGACCTCCATATTGAAGCTTGATGTAAACGATGATGACTTCCGGTCGGTCTCTCGACCAATGAGATGCTCCGATTTCTTCTTCTTTTGTTTTTATGACGGTGACATCCAATCCCAGCAGCCAAAGATCAGCGTGAGGTGAAATAGTTATCTTCCAGTATCGAAAACAAAGGAATAATAATCTCCCATGGCCAAAACAAAGATAAATAAACATTTACTAACAACTTTTGAACGTGGAAATGTACACAAGCTTTACACACAAGCTTTACGCACTATATGGCATGTGCTTAGTCCGCATTTCCTGTGCGCACGTATGTTTTTTACTGCATTTACTGTGGTTTATGGTAGACAGAAGTTATTGTTATTTGTTTTATATAGAGCAAATTTCGCGGGTAATAATCTCGCGGGTCATAATTTCGCTGTGTTTGTGGTGGGAGAGGAGAGAGTCGGAGAGATAGGTTAGTGAGTTTGAGAGTAGTGAGTTTTATTGATAGAGAGAGTTAGACAGACAAACAAAAAGTTCTTTTCAGAACTACTTGGAGAGGGGAAAGTTCTTTTCAGAACTATGGCGACTGCAAAAAGGTGCTTCACTGTTGCTGAAGCAATGGATTTAGTTTTGAATGGTGGTGGTGACGGACTGGAGCTAATGCTAACCAGCAACTCTGAGTCAGGAGCAGAGTCATTCCTGACAGATGAAGAGGTGGTCTACCAGGAGGGACTTGACCCTGCTGAAGAGTAAGTGGCCTTATTTGAAATAACAAAATAAATAAAATAAAATGTACATATTTTTTTTTTAGTACACCTGTGTTAGGTTGGCTGGTTGGCTGTTTACTGGGTGGGAATGGAGCTCAATAGTCTCATGTTAGCTGTAAAGAATGTGAACGTGTGGGGTTTACTCAGACATTACATAGTGTGAGAAATGAAATGAAAAATAATCTGATAGGCTTTATAAGATCTAATGTTTTTTTTTCTTTTTTCTCATATTTTTTGTATTACAGTGTTGATCATCAACAACAGGCAGGCCCTCCTGATACATCGGTTCTCCCTTCCACTTCCTCTGCTGTTGTGGCTGCTCTGCCACTTTCCAGAAGGGGACAAGGAAAAGTGAACTTTGCTCTTTCTTCTGAAGAAGAGGAGGAAGAGCCATCAACCTCTGCTGTGCTGCAGCCATCAGTTGGAGGTCCTGGGAGGAAGAGAACCCCCTCAGCAACCAGAAGGGGACGGGCCAGGTCCAGAGGTGGATGCAGGTCCAGGTCTCCTCTTAGGCCACAGTCAGCAGCCTCTGCCACATCCTGGAAAACAGAGGAGCATCCAGACACAGCTCCAGATCCAAAGAGGTTCCTCCCAGCAAGAACCCCTGGACATCAACTAAGCTCCACCAGTATGTACACACCACTGGACCTGTTCAAACTGTTTTTCACAGATGATGTTGTGAAAACACTGTGTCAGAACACGAACAAACAGGCTGCAAAAAATATTGTACAGGGCAAAAAATATTCATGGACGGACATCACCACCCAGGAATTCCAGAAGTTTTTGGGACTGAACTTTTATTTTGCCCTGGTGAAGATGAACGCAGTCCAGGATTACTGGAAAACTGGTTCCATTTTCAGCCTGACCTTCCCAGCCAGTGTCATGCCATGGAACAGGTACCTGGTAATCTCCTGGAATTTCCACTTGAGTGATCCTGACCAAGATGTGGAGAATGACAAGAAGAAGGGGACACCAGAGCATGACCGCCTGTTTCGCCTGAAGCCCCTTATGGTCTCCATCTAGGATGCCTGTAAGGCCCACTACCACCCCTACCAGAACCTGGCGATTGACGAGCGGATGGTGGCTACCAAGGCTCATACTGGCATGACTCAGTATATGAAGGCAAAACCTACTAAATTGGGTTTCAAGCTTTTTGTGCTGGCAGACAGCAGCAACGGCTACACAGTTGATTTTACTGTGTACACAGGCAAGACCCAGTTTCCATCAGGAGTTGGGCTAGCCTACGACGCAGTGATGTCCCTGATCAAGCCAGCATACCTGGGCACTGGCTTCCATGTGTACATGGACAATTTTTATACAAGCCCAACTCTTTTCAGGGCACTGTATAATGTTAACATGGTAGCATGTGGCACCTACAGAGACAACAGGAAAGAGTGCCCCCAGACATCTGAAAATGCCCTGCACAAAAAAGTACCAAGAGGCTCCATCAGGTGGATACGCCAAGGCCCACTCATCTTCGTCAAGTGGATGGATACACGAGAGGTCTCTGTCTGCTCCACGATCCACCGAGCATTTGATGGAGCCACTGTAAAGAGGAGGATGAAAAGTCAGGATGGCAGCTGGATCACAATATCTGTCTCATGCCCAACACCTGTTGTGGAGTACAACAAGCACATGGGAGGTGTTGATTTATCAGACCAGCTGATACAGTACTACTCTGTGCAACACAGATCCAACAGATGGTACCGCACCCTCTTCTACCATTTCATGGACATTGCTGCCACCAACAGCTATCTCCTTCACAAGGATCTCTGCAAGCAGAGGCAACAGGAACCCATGAGCCACAGAGGCTTCCTTCAAGAGTTGACAGCTCAGCTCTGTGGTGTCACGGTGAATGTCCCTCCTCAAAGAGCACAGGGCTCACACATTCCCGTGCCAGTCTCCCATGTAGAGGATAAGGGCAAGAAGGCCACGGCTGGGAGAAAAAAGTTCATCCTCTGCAGAAAGGACAGGCAGGTCCAACAGTCCACCCCCTGGAAGTGTGAGATGTGTGATGTAGCCCTCTGTCTTGTTCCAGACAGAAACTGTTTCAAGGAGTGGCACAAGTGACTGAGGAAGTGAGGGAAAAAACGAGTGGAGAAAAAATGTAAAAATGTAAATATTTTTTGTTGTGTTTGTGTTAGAATGTTGGGATCTTTTTCTCCTGATAGCCAAGGCCTGAGAGAAACATATTTGAAAATGAAAAAGCTTGTACATTGTTGATCTGTGTCTTTTTTTAATTAAATTCTGTGACATTCAATTTCCGTTTTGCTTTTTCTTTTGTTTTTCTACTCATATAACTATTGATCCATTCATGTAGCATCATTTTAGCATACATATTATTATTGCCCAGGTTGTCCTGAAAAAAAAAGATGTTCATTACTTGACTGTGCATGAAAGGGTTGAGATTATACATGCATTAATAGACATAGAGGCCAGGCGGACAAAAAATAGCAATAAATGGCTTGGTTTTTTAAGGGTTAATCACAGAACACAGTGGACAACTTATATCTGACATTGAGATTTTTTAATACATAATATGGAGGTGGTAAAGTTTTTGGCTTCCTGCACACAGCAAAGCTTGTGTGACTTTCTGGGTTTTCTCCTCATTTTAGGTCTGCTATTTTGAATCATTGTAGTATTAAAGATCTATGGATGGCAGTGATAGTCTGTTGATCCACTGCTTTGGTTCAGAATTAAATGCTATTTGTCAACTATTGTATGGACTGTGAAGAAATATGGTTCAGGCATTCATCTTCTCATGATGAATTGTAAAAATGTGATGATCTTGTGCCAAGTGGCATGTATGTTCCGCAGCACCTCCACGGACTATTACATCCAGACAGTCCCGGTCTTTCCTCCGCAGGCTCCACTTCACTCAACTGCCCGATAAACCTGCTGCTTCTTCCCACTTTAACCTGAATAACAAACCAGGGCTCGGTGCTCCGGTTGGATCCAAACGGAGAGCCGGGGCTAGTTTGGGAAGCTAGCAGAGGCTAACTGGCTGTGTTTCCTTCCGGCATGCAGCGCTAGCCACTCCAAGCTAGCCCCAGCTCTCCGTTTGGATTCAAATGGATTCACTCACTACAGGGGCAAGGGAATAAAACCTAAACATCCAATCAGAATGATCTCTTTCACCGACTAGCTCCGCTGCTGATTCAACATGCTCAATCGCCTGAAAAGCAGATGCCGCCGACACCGAAGGTGTGGGACACACCGCAAAAACTAGGCCGACAGATGCTCACCAACGGCCGACTTTGGTCGACGGCCGACCGTCGGCTTGGTGTGTCAGGGCCTTAAGATGGTAAACATGTTAAACCTAAAAATTGCTGAACATTAGTATTTTAGTAGGTCTTACTTGTTTTACATATATTTTATGAATGTAAGAGATACATCGACAAGATATTAATCATAACAATGATCAACAACAAACCATAGTAAAACCTTGCCCACCATGTTTGGCTTTTCTTAATCTTTTGTCACATCGCTATCCAATGCTTAGTCACAGATTCTCAACCCTGCTCTATTCCCTACCATGTACTAACTCTCCTGTCATTTCATATCCATCCACCTGGATCTGACCCCCATCACCTGACTCCCCTACTTGCCTGCACCCGTCTCCACATTCATAGATCCAGATTGTCTGAATTGTGTTTCACCCTCAGCTTTGCAGCACTTTTCCTTTTTCGCCTGCCTGATCCTGCCTGTATGATGCCCTGCCAGCCCAACTAACTTATCTCTCAGCATGATCCACATTTTTAATAAATGTAAATAAATTTGCTCACTTGTATCACCCTGGTTTTTACTTTTGACTGAAATTATTTTTAGGTTCCTAGTTAACATGAACTTTCACCTCTCCTGACCATCTCTGAGTCATGCATATCGTTTCAACCCTGGTCCTTAGGGGAGCCATTCCATATGTTGAGAATTATTTTGTTTTGTGCTTCCTGAATTCTGATCTGTCACATGCATTTTAAGGAAAAATTAAATGAATCAAAAATCTATCAAGTTATACCAGGCTGAGAGAAGAGAAGCTGAGGCAGATGATTGGAAAAGGAGATTTGAAATTGAGAGTAAGTTGCTTGTAAATTTGTAAATTTAAAATTTGTGGAATCAAAATGTTTTTATATGGACAGGAAAAGAAATATTCAATCTGTGGTCATTGTGACACAAACATTAAAAGCTAAAGTGAATCATTATTGTATTTCAATATTTCAGACAAGTTTGATAAAGAAATTAAAAAAGACAATTTAAACAGTATTCAAAAATGTCCTCCTAAATGATGTACTACATATGTCTGTATTTTTCTGCATACAGAATACTTTGTGTTAAACCTCAGTTTCCTTCTATTTGCTGGCTATTTGGAGACACCACAGAGGCCTGACAGAGCATCAACAAAAATATTTTTAATTAATAGACATCCTATTGGAGAACAGTTTTTCAGCAGGTATTCATACTAGAGCTGGGTGATATGTCCTGAAAATCATATCACAATATTTCTAGGCTTTATATGGATACACAATTTATATCTCTGTATTTTCAAAACCCCTCAAAAGCACTTCATTAGTGATTGGACTGGGACACAAAATCGACGATAGCAATATTTTTGACCATGTACAATCTCGGCTGTGACAATATTGTAGATATGGAAAAAAAAGATTCACAAAGTGATAACACAATAAGATACATGATAGTATCATAACTAATGTGAATATAATGACAATATGGGTAAAAGCAAGCACTGAAACGAAAGGAGAACAGTCTGGTAAGTTGATAAATTTACATCAGTTTAATGTATTTCAGTCTTTCAAACCAGGAAATGACACCATCTCTGCAAAATCCAAGATGATATATAGTGTCATATCTCAGTAACGATGTAATATTGACATATTGTCCATTTACTGTACTATTGTACATTTACTGTACTTAGGTTTTGAGGTACTTAAACTTTAGGATTTAATTTTCTGATACTTTATATTCCACTCTACTACATTTCGGAGGCAAATATTGTACTTTCAAATCCCCTACATTTGTTTGACTGCTTTAGTTGCTCTGGATATCCCAAATGATTATACAATATGTCATCAACAAGTGAACTTTGCTATTTTTTAATTTACTTAATTTATCCCTGAGGAGGAATTCAGCAGTTTATAACTGGTCTTTGCCACATAAAACACCAAAAAAATATGAATGCATTATTGATCAATACAATGTAAAATGATTAATATAATATTTAAACAGAATACAAACAGGGTTTATTCTGAAAGGGGCTCAGTAATTTACTTTTGATACTTTAATACTATTTTTTGCCTCAGTAAAACTTTTAATGCAGAAATTTTACTTGTATTAAAGTATTTAAACATTGTACAGTCACTACTGATGCAACTTTGTGCAGATAAATGTGATTCTTCATTTTTATTTTAAGTTTGCAGCCTGTACAGAGGCCTGAGAGTCAGAGCTGAGAATTGCTGATATTGTGTGGCACTCTGCAGCCTGTTGCTTAGCCTTAATTGATGGCCCATCAAGGGGAGGGGCCACACCCCCCCCACACTCACACACCTAGGCTGCTCGTGCCTGTGAACCTGTGAGCAGGGCAAACTGTCCATCCCCCACCTCAGCAGCCCTGCATGTGCTCGCTGAGGCAGCGTGAGGAGCATGGAAGGAGTTTGGAGAGACTCAAGAGGAGACTACAGCAATTAAGACTATATCACGACCGCAACTGCAGAGGAGGTTTTTCTCAAAGAATTTGTCAGCAAGTAAGTGTTAAAACATTTTTGATTTTAGCTTGTACATGTCAACTTATGCTAACGGTATTATGTTTTCCTGCACTTTAGAAACATGTCACTATTCAAACTTTATAAAATGCAAGTGGAAGTGGCAAGTTATGCTAAATTTTAAGCTGGAGAAGTAATTTAATGTTATTTTGTTTTTGTATGTGACCATAAATCTGACTATATGAGTTCCTAGCAAGTCAGTTAACTGTGACCATTGTATTTGTTTAGTTAACCCTTTAGATTCACTGACAAATGAAATGATCAAATGTTAGATTTAACCTTAATTTAAAGTAACCTCTCAAATTATTTTCATACCTAGTTTATGACATTTTTTCTCAGTATGATGAAATACATGTAGGTGCCTGTGATTAATGTAGGGTGTAGTGTCTTTCAGTGTTTCGTGTCTTTTAGAAATTTAGAGACATTCCATGACTGTGGATGAATGCCATTTTAAGAGACAAACTGCGGATGTAGACTTTAGCTGGTTAGTTGCACTTGAGATGTAAGCTGAAATCAGCTCTTACACCTTATGTGAATAATAATAATCAGCTCTGTTTAACCTGATTCAGTATCTTTCCTTTTGTTTCACTCACTCTCACCATGTGACTGTCAGTTTAGTTAATACAGTAGACAGTATATGTTGGTGTGAACTTACATCCTGTAACACAGAACATTGATCATTGAACAAAATGTGATTTGAACTTTTAGACCTGAACTAAAAGAAACTGTGATCTTGGGATATAACAACATGCTGTTTCTGAAATTAGGTTAAGTACATTTCACAATAAGCCTGCATTGGTTTCACATGGAAAATGAGTAATCTACAAATCGTCAGTGATCACTTTATTAGGTACATGTGTACAATCTTATACATTACAAGACAACTGTATTGACAAAGTGCAGGCATGTGCAGAGGGGCTGGCTAAGGGTACCTGAGCCCCTGCCCCTTTGCTCCTGATGCCTAAAGTGTGTGTTTGCCAAGGCAACTATATTTTCACTGTCACAAAGGCTGGGCAATATATCAGCTTTTAAAGATACCGTGTATCAGTGTATTCTATAATGAAGTAAAGGACAATAACTTTTTATATTGTTTATTTACCAGTTGCTCAACATAATTTCAAGTAAGGCCTGCAAGTGTGCCTCTCCTCTCATGCCACGCAGCTCCGCCCCACTCACCACATAGTTCTCCAGCAACACTGAGGGAGATACAGCACCACTGCTCTGTTTCAATTAGTCTGTTAATTTGTCTTCAGTCAGACATAGGCCTGAGTGTTGCACAGTCAATAAGATGAAGCAATGCAGGTTAAAATCATTCTTAACACCTTGAAGTATACTGTAGTCCAGAACAAAAAGACTTTTAAATAATACCTTGCTTATCAACGAACAAATATTTACATCTACCCATTTTTGACTCAGGCTACAGAAACTGAAATGATGGCAGAGCTGTGTGTGGGTAATAAAGTGGCTACTGACTGCATGGGAAATTAGGAATTTGTAATTTATAATATAATATAATTTATTTTAATTACACAGACCAAATTCAATGAATGAAAGCATGCAGATTAGAGTGTGTAGATTGTATGTATTCATGATGACAAGGTTCGTTTTTTTTTTTAGTCATCTATATATGAGTGCCTTTTTAACAATGCAGTATTGACCAGTTCTTGCCTCGTTTGATGTACGAAGAGACAAATGTGCAGAAAGATAGCAATGTATAATTGTGTTGTACAACTTAGTAGAAGTTACTAGTTTGATTCTAATTATTTTGTTGAAACTGTTTCAGACAATAACATTTAAATAATATCTCTTCACTTTGTTGTTAGGTCCTGATTCTGACACAATGACTGGGAGGCCAACACAAGTAAGTACCTATACAAAATCTTTACACTGTACTTATTCAGACTCAGTAGAGTGGTGAAAGGATCGTGTTATTTCAGTACGCCAGCCTGGATATTAGCTTCTCCCTCATCAAAAAGCCTATATGGGATTTTTCAATTTGATTTTGGATTATTACTGAAAATAAACTGTTTCTTGATACCTACATGTTTGGTTCAGCATAGCAATCTTCACAGATAAGCACCACTTTATGATTTTTGAAGTGTAAATTACATTGTTAGCAGTAAAAAGCTAATGTTAAGCCAACCATGTACAACCAACATAGTCTTGGTAAGACACACATTAGCAGCCACCATTTTAAAGGTACTTACATTGTTTGTTTGTTTTTAGTTCAAATGTGTCTTTTATAATGTGTTTTATGTCACAGAACAAAATGTGTAAATATTAAATTTGAGACAAGAAACCCAAAAATGCTGAATGACTTCAGGGTTATGGAACTTGTTCATTAACCACTCTTTATTACACGGTTCTATTAAATGCTGTATTCTGATTGGTCAGTCGTGGCATTCAGTGGTCTGATATTACTGTGTAATGACCACTCCTAGTAGCAATGGTCATTACACAGTTGCGAAGAGGGGTTTGGAGCTTTCCTTTTGAAACTGCCATAGAAAACAACAAAACAGCAGCCACAAACTCAAACACTGTGCATATATCAGTTTAGAAACTTTTGAAACTGCCAGTATGCCATCGCTGAATATTGCACAGAACCTCACAATATAGATGAGTCAAGACAAATTGTAACAACTCAGTCCAAGATTTTCAGAGTGAGACTCCTCTTTTAACAAGTTTGTGTTTCTGGTTAAAAAAATAATTTAATGTAATATACAGGTCTCTCTGTGGGAAAGGTTTCTGTAATAACGTCTGTTAACCCCAGAAAACCCCAGCATATCAAAAACAGTTCTAGTAGACATAACTAAATCAATCTAAAGTAGTACAATGCAGCCATGTCACAGCTGCCAGCTGAGGAGATCTACTGACATGATTCAAAACTTTTGTTATGTATAGTTAACCACTGATACATGTATATACAGGCCTGAGGTTTGCAAACTACCATACTTACATTTTACAGGTTAAAAACAAAACAAAACAACACACAATTACATGTGACCTGTCAGTAGTATGCTGCTTTATCTACTCTCATTTCAAAACGTGGTAAGGATTGATTATTCAGGCTCTCTGTCAGGCAGGAAGCCTTTTACAGTTACAGTGCAGGTGAAATGGAGAAAACGTGTGTGGCATAGAATTGCTGAAATACGAGTGGACTCTATTTGCAGAGTTCTTAGTCAAGATTACATTCAGTTTACTTCACCAGGATAATTCAGGTAAACACGTATTTACAAAAGACACTTAAAAAGTAAATACATGTTAAAGTTTTGGTTTTATAAACATTACTATCACTCTTACCGTTGCCATTCTCATGCAATATTTAATTATCAAAAAGTGACACCTTTCTAATCTAGTATTAGTGAGTAAAATTGTTTAACTGCAAGACCTAGAATTGATGTATTAATTGTATGTGACTACATTTTCTCTGACATATATGCTTTGTGCTTACAGTTGGACAGTATCCATGAGGAGTCGGACGGTGAATTTCCCAGCCTTACAGGACCAGACCCAGACTACAATCCAGCTCAGAGTGAATTATCATCTAGTGATGTGGATGTGATAAACCTGGATAAACCTTCATTATTTAAGGAATCATTTAGTGATGAAGCTGTTGAAGGTCCAGATACAGATTCAGGAGAAGACAAAGATCAACAAACAGACAAGTGCAATATTAAAAAGCACAAAACCCCCAGAAATTATGTGAAAAGAAATAAGAAAAAAGTAAAGATGAACAAAGATGAAGTGAAAACTGTGACCATAAAAACCTGCACAAAAAGGCAGAATGGCAAACAATCATGGGACAAAAAGCACTACTGTCTTTACTGTGGACAGCCACACTCAAAGATAGCGAGACATTTGAAGAGTAAGCATATGGAGATCGAAGATGTAGCATATGCCTTCAGTTTTCCAGTAGGGTCAAAATACAGGAAAGCACTGCTGGATCTACTGTGCAGTAAAGGGGATTTCAATCACACTGCCGAAGTCCTGGAACAATGCAGGGAACAACTCGTGATGTGTAAGCAGCCCTCTCATAAGGCCTTGGTTGAGGATTATTTGCCTTGCACATATTGTTATGGGATGTTTGCCAGAAAGGAGTTGCGGAAACATCAGTTCTCATGCGGAAGCAAAAAATCTTGTATGACAAATGGAAGGAGAAAAGTACAAAGTCATGCTGCACGCTTGCCTCCAATTGCTGCTTCCTCCGATAAATGTCAGAAGATTATTGATAATATGCGACAAGATGATGTATCCTTTCACATCAGGACAGACTCTTTGATTTGCAGGTACGGTGAAGCACTGCGTGCAAACCATGTGCGTGTGAAGTCAAGACACCAGTACGTTGCACAGAGAATGAGGGAGCTTGGCCAATTTATGTTGGTTGCTAAAGACATGGATAAGACTGTAAAGGGTCTGGAAGACTTGTGTGCACCATCAAGGTTTCAGTTTGTTGTCAGTGTGGCAAAGAAGGTTGCAGAGTGTAGTCCAGGCAAAAATGAGTATGGAAAACCTCCCACTGCTGTCCAAATTAGATTCTGTCTCAAAGGATCGGTGAAGGTCCTGATTAGACAAACACTCATGAATGATGATGACCTGGCAGAGAGGAAGGCCAAACAATTTCTGGAACTTTTGGACAAAAACTGGAAGAACCATGTTTCTGTCAGTGCTCATCAAACAATACAAGAAAAGAGATGGTACAAGCAAGATGACATCCCCCTGACAAAAAATGTGACGACTCTGAGGGATCATCTGAGGATGGTGGAAGATAAAGCAAAGGAGGAACTGACAAAGGAGCTCAGTTTAACCGCCTACAAGATGTTGAATGAGACGGTTCTGGCACAGGTCATTATCTTCAACAAGCTGCGTGAAGGGGAATCATCACACTTGACTCTTGACACCTACGAAACAGCAAGCACAAATCCCATAAACAAGGACATATATGAAACCTTGTCTCCTCTAGAGAAAGAGCTCAGCAAGCTTCTAACTCACTTAGAAGTCCAAGGAAAAAGAGGCAGGAAGGTACCTGTTTTCTTGACACAGAGAATGAAGGAGTCAATTGACTTGTTGATTAACAGAAGAGATGAAGCTGGCATACCTGCTGAAAACCCTTATCTCTTTGCAAGACCTGGTACAATGACAAACATACGTGGCTGTGACTGTCTGCAAAAATATGCAGAGGAAAGCAAAGCAGAAAACCCTGAGCTCCTGAGATCAGCTAAATTAAGAAAACAGGTGGCCACCCTATGCCAACTCCTGGATCTGAATGAAAAGGAGCTGGAACAAGTTGCAAGGCTTATGGGGCATGACATCAGAGTTCATCGCGACTTTTACCTACAGACGGACAAAGCATTTCAAATTGCTAAAATAAGCAAACTTCTGTTTGCAATGGAGCAAGGCACTGAGAGCTTAAACGGGAAGAACCTCAACACCACCAACCCTTCTGTTAATGGTATGTATGCACTACAACTGACAGTTTTGTCCTGCTGTTTACTGACATCACATACAGCATTCTCACAATACGCCACAAAATTTATAGCTGACGTAATCACATTAGCTATTAGAGGTCCTAACAACTAAGAAGTGTACATGTATTTACAAATCCAAGAGGAAGGCTAGTGTCTTTTAAATTTGTACAGTCTACACCAGCTGGACAATATAACTGTCATTTCTTAAAAACATTATCAGGCAACCCATAAAGATGAAAAGTCACTTCTTTTTATGAGAGGATGATATATAAATATTGACTAATACATTTTTGGCCAGAAAAAAATAAATAAAACAAAAAACAAAACTAAACAAGGAAATTAGAGAGGAAAGTCAATGCTTGCATGACCAAGGATTGTTTTGTGTATTTTTTTGTCTTGGAATTACATATTATATTAACACAGCAGTATTAGAACACCCTCATTTATTGAACAGTTGCCTTTGTACTTAAAGAATTTTTGGCTCTGCTTATAATCTTTCATAGGTGAAAGTCCCATATCAACTTATAACATTGGTCCACAGAGGAAAGGAATCCCAAGCAGAGAGGAAGTTGATAGTATGTGACTAAGGATGAATTAGATCAGCCTGATTATAAAGAGCTAACGGTTAAATATAAACACCTTAGTTGTTTCAGCACACTTGAGTTGGCTTTTACTGTAGAGTAGATTCTTCTGGGAGAGTCAGTACATCTGGGAAAAATAAATATCATCTAATCAACAACAGTCTTTGCACTTGAGGATTTGAGCACTAATATTTGACCTTTATCTTTTACAGTTGAAAATCCCATGTCACCTTCTGAGACTGTCCCACAAGAAGGAAAAAAAAGAGCCAGAGAGGTGGATGATGGTATGTTCTTTTTTTTTAAAGTTATTTTTAAGGATGTGCATTTTTAAAATTTCAAAAGGATCTTTTTCAATCTTTGTAAACTCCACACTATCATATACAGATACAGTCACATGCTTTCGGTATCATTTCCTAAACTCCACAGTATGATGTGTCACATATGTCATTCTTTGCTCTTGTTTTTAGATGGATGTCTTGACCTGTTCTCCCCCAGAAAGAAATTAGACCCCTGCAATGAGGATGGTACGTTTATGGCTGTTGTATTATACTCTTGTCTTCTGACCAAAAGGAGCCTGCTGGTTATTTTCAGTGGTGGAGCTCAGTGTAAAGGTATCAGTGTTAACTGACAAGTAGCGCACTACTTTGCACCCATTGAGATGAGTAATCCATCATAGCAAATATTTAGGGCTCTTTTTTCTTTTAAATTGTTTCCTGATGACAAAGTGGTGAGATACAACTATTTAGTAATGTTTAAGGCACTGACATGCTGAGTTTAGAGTTAGTATCCAGTTGTCTTGGTATTCAGATGTGTTACTTTGATTTTAAATTGAGTAAAATGTCTCTGAGTACTTTGAAAAGCACTTTCTAAATAAACTATGTTGGGTTTTTCATTGTCAGCACTTTAGAACACACAGAACCCTTTCTGTTATCTAATGTTTCATTAAGTGACAGGAACTAATATTTGTCTGTTGCAGATCAGAGCCCAGGAATAAGCCTTAGTCAGAGGCTTCCACCGAGGATGAGAAGAAGAAAACGGAAAAAGGCAGATAAACAAATAGGTAAGTTCTGTCAATTCTTCTTCAAACTCACCATTATGTACTTTCTACGGCCCTTTGCCAACTGTGCATGGGATTTATTATGTTAACTTCATTAGAAGTCAGGAAGTGTGTTAAACACTATGTCAGACAGTGTGCATTCCAGTGTCAACTGAACTGCATTTTCGCTCAAACCAGTCAAAGCATGCATTCCTACATCATTTAATTTCTCCTAATACATGCACAAGTCAACAAACACTTAATTTTTTTAAGCTAAGGCTGGATAGTACGGCCTTAAAGTTATATCAAGGTATTTTTTGGCTATATCATGATACATGCTACATATATATCACATACAATATACCATATCATGATACTCACTGTATACATACATAAAAACCAAATCCCTCAATATTGACACTGCAGCAATATTGTAGGGATGACTGTTTATACAAAATATTAACAACATTAATGAGATGTTTGATCAGTAATCATCAGTAATGTGGATTAAATGACTGAAGTAGATGAAGACACAGTCTCATTGATTAGACAATTGATTAAGAGAAAAAACATAATTTTACTGTAATGAAGCATACCTAACTATGTGGCCTCCACTTTGGGAACCACTGTTCTTTTGTATTAATAATCATGGCAGATACACTTCCATGCTTTCATCATGTCTTCCTTTCCAATGCAATAATACACCCTGCTTGCTCTTATTTTTCAGATGAAGGTTCTGACCTCTTCTGCCCTGAAAAGACAGTTCACCAGAGTAGTGAAGATGGGAGTTCAGATAGAGATGGTGAGTTATTTGGCTTTAATAATAAAAAGCTCATTGTACAGTGATAAATTAAAAATGTACAAAACTCCTGTTTTTTGTTTTAGGGCCCACCTGGTTGATTTTCCAACTTCCAACACATATTTCTAAAGATTTATCTTAGTACTGCTCACCATTTTGTCATTGTTCATTTGTTAATTAATTAAGCTGATGATGTGGCATGTTTTGATCAGAACCTACAACAGACTTGACAGTCAGTGTCAGTGTAGTAAAACCAGAGATTACTCTGTCTGCATACAGAAATCAGAAAGATGATAGTGAGAACAAAGTGAATCAGCTTCATGGGAGGTCACAATATCATCACAGTTCATCTTTAGTGGCTTGATTAATCCTTGGTCATGCATGCCAGCATCAGAACTTTTTTGCAATTTTCAATGTTCAAGAACACTAGATCTTAAAATTTTGTCTGTTGAAATGAAAGAATAAGCAGTGAACAATGAGGTCTTGTTTATGAGGTTTTAACGTTGGCCTTTGAACACAGTTGTATTGTTAATATTCATTAGAGTTAAGGTTTTATGAACAGGTACTAATGTTTTTTTTATTGTTGCAGATCAGAGGTCAGGAAAAAACCTGGTTACACAGAAGAAAAATAAAAAGAAAAGAGAAAAACAGATGGTGAAAGGAAAAGGTAATTTCTTATTAACTGGGCAAACTTCTCTGTTGTTAAGACAGATTTACATTAGTGGGACTGTATGAGATCATTGCAGGGTTGAGGAGAAAAGTAGGCTCTATTCTTAATATCTTAATATTAATATTTGTGCTGTCACCCAGCATAACATCCTCACTCCCAGTCAGTCAAGACCCCCACCTTCACCCCCAACTCCCAGCTGTGCTTGCGTGCGCTTTCTCTCTCTCTCATGCAAATAGCGGTTTGAGGCACTGCGGCCCATGCTTTAATACAACTTCTATGAGGCAGAACCTCTGGTCATGAAAACTCAACTGCACCATGAAAAGATTTGAAAAGCATCTACCAGGTAAACTTGTGGACTTCAGTAACAATAATGCAGAGTTGATGTGTTACTTTACAATCCATTCCTCTTCAGACGTATGTCTTTACAGTATATCACTCGGGCTGCGTCTGTTTTATTTAGCAGCCACAACACTGTTCTTTGACTTTGTGCCCAACAAAACTACAAGTCCCGTTATTTAATTCTCACATTTGGTTTGATAATTGCCAATGTGCAGCGGCGTTTATGAACTGCGGCTGGAGAAGATAACCGTGTTGTGTTCAAACATGCGGCCATATGCATGTGCATGGAATAAAATTCATGTTCTCCTGCAGCAACCTGTGTGTGGACCAGACCAGACAAAATATAGCCTACTGTAAGCGTGATGGTGACCCTCACAGAGAAACAGAATTTAAACAAGACAATGGCTACGTTTGTATGTGCAACCATATTCAGATTAAGGTCCATAATGTGGTGAAGGCAATATCCCAAATAAGATGTTTGCATGTGCCGCAGTTATGGGAATATTCCTGTTTACATGTTTATCACTATATTCTAAATAAACTAGTGACACACACTAGTAGTGTTAGAAGCATCATGACCAGAATTGGGCAAGTTAGTAGAAATTAGCAATTAGTTACTTAAAAAAAGTAATTGATTTACTTTAACAATTACTACATATAAACGTTACTCTGAAAAGTAACCATCATGTTACCTTTTACAGCTATTTTATTTGAGTGTGCCTAAATTTCTTTTTCTTGACGTTACATTTGAACACACTATATAGATGTTTCTATTTACCTTTGCCAGATAGGCATTTTGCAGAGGCAACCTTGAAAACACCATAATATAAACGTATGTAACCTCCGTCAGTTAGCTAATAAGCTCTTATTCTGCCAATTTCAATATGGATTTCAACATCAAATTACTATTTGTAACTAGCGGGACTTGCTACAAAGTTTGGATGCGCTTCCCACAGTGGATGGATGAGTAAGAAACTGTCATGCCCCTGGACCACCTTTGGGGGGGTCAAACATCCACCCACCAACTGCTGTTGAAAACTGTACCAACACATTGTGGGCTAGGTTTATCTGTGTATTTATTTTATTTGTTGAGGAGACACTCATGCAGTCACACAGCAACTGATAAAGTGCGAAAGAAAACTGGTGCTGCCAGTTGCACCTTAGATTTAATGATTGTGAAAAAAAACAATAACAAAAAAAGCAGATGACATTTTTTTTTCGCTCTACTCCCTCTCTCCATGACAGTTTGCTAGCTGTGCATGCAAGTTAAGAAATCTGTATAGTGGTTTATTTATTGAACATTACAAAATCTTCTTTGCCTTCTTTATCATTTGTAGAGCCACTCCAAGCTACAGTGAGGAGACCATGGAGTGAAGCAGAAAGGATGGCAGTGGAAAAGCACCTGGGAAACTTTTTGGCAGAGCGAAGAGTTCCTTGGAAGAGGGACTGTCTGCGGGCTATACAAGCTGACAAGGCCCTGAGTGAAAGGTCATGGAAAAGTGTCAAAAACTATGTGTGCAACAAAATTGTAACTTTAACTCTGAAAAAGCTGAAGTATGAAGGACTGGGGATGCACCATTTCGATCCATAGAGTTGATCTATAGAGATGCACCGACTAACCAGCCAGTGACCTGATTCTAACAGTTTTAAGCATTACCTGGAATGACCGCAAAGGTGCTGGGCAGTGTATCATTTTTTCAATTAAAGTTGACAAAGTTGACGACATGTTACACCGTGACCTGTTGCACCAGGTTTCATTAAGGAAAGCAATATTGTAGGCGAGAGCTGTGAATTCTCTCACGGAGGTTCTGTCATTGAACTGGAAATGTCAACTTCTTTACTGTGGATCTGACACTCAGTTTTGTTTTTGCCTTTCACAATAAGAGACTCAATGCTTATTAAGCCGGAACAAAAATTCACTTTAAACATTTCGTGAATGAGACAAGTTACTAAAACGTATTTTCAAATGGAAGGTATTTGTACAAAAAAGGGCTCTGGCCAGTACCTGAGTACTTTATTATAAAACTTGAGAGAAGGTCCTGTACATTGATGCATTATGGGAAAAATAGGCTATTGTAATAGTCAATTTGTTATCATGAGTGTGAGAATTTGTTTAAAAATGAAGAATTAAAGATTACAAATGCTGCCCATTAGAGTTTTTAGAAAGAAAATCAATGTGGGCTCAAAATTGGAACTGGCAGGTCAGACTTGTGAAAAAAATCAGCCCTAAAAATCGGTGCAATCGGTCCATCTCTCATGATCTGTTCACCTTGGTTTTGTGTATTCTCTCGGTATCTGATGGTTCACAGTTTCAGCAACTTTATTTTATATAGGTCCATCTCTGCTGATCTGTTCACTTCAGTTTCATGTTATGTGTGGAGCTTCAGTATTCTTGACCCTCAGTGTCAGCAGTTTTGTTTCATATTGCATTTGCACATAATGTTCACAGAGAAGTTTGATTCCCCTTTATGTGGAATGTTTAAATAAACAGGTGAAGTTTAGTATTTGTTGTGTCTCAGTTTTCTCAGTTCTCAATTCACCTCACCTGAGAACTCTCATGACCTCACCTGAGAACTCTGACCTCACCTGAGGACTCTTATGACGTCACCTGACCGCCTGCAGCAGGTCTGACCTCTGAACTCTCCTGTCTTTATACAGTGATAATGTCATCACTGAATGTTTCTTAAATTATTAAAATACTCTAAGAGAAAATGTGTTGTTGTGATGTTAAGTCACTAGGAGGCACTGAGTTCAGCTGTATTATTATTTATTATTACAGTATTTGTCAACAGTAAAACACAAAAAGGGAGCAAAGACTTACTACAAACTATAAACAGAAATGGTCTGACCAGAAATGGACCCAACAGCGCCCCCATGAAAAAGTCCTCACTAAGATAGTACAAAAGTTTTTCACAAGGTATTTTTCCTTTTTTTGTTTTAAAAATCTGAGGTGGAGACTGGAGTTAGGGGGCCACCTAGTGTTGAAGTGTAAGATCAGTTTGTCTCTAAGTATAGCAGAAAGGGTGGTCCTCACTCCCAATGGGAACTGTCCCGGTCCTCACTTTAATGCCTGTACAGGAATGTGTGTGTGTGTGTGTGTGTATCAATTTTTAACATCCACCACAGTTAACAGACAGAGGTCTTGGTCATTTTTTACCATACCATACTTTCTGTAGTCATGCTGTAGTTTTCCCATGCCATATTTTTTTTTTACAAGCTGACTGATCATTTGACTAAACGTTTCTTGCCCCATTTGACTTAGTGATGCCACTGTGTTGCCAGATCTCAGTAATTTCTTCTGACTCTCCTGTATTTATTTTGATTTTCTAATTCATTCTAGCAGTCAGCATCAAGTGCCATATATCATTTTATCAATGAGAACCTGAAGTTTCACTCTAACTCATTTAAAGCCACAATTTTACATTTGCTTTGTCTGATAATGGATAAAATTAACAGATTTTTAAAAATTGTATTTTTTTTTTTTTTTTGTTTACTGTGAACCTCGTGAGGTTTGTTTTTCTGTTATTTACAAAGTTGTAGGTAGATGTTCTGGACTTCCAAATAATTTTTTGGTCTACGCCTAACCTTCCCTAAACAAGTTACAGCCATTTATGATAACATTATATTAGGCATTTTTAAGTGAAATACAGGTGTATTCTTATATTTCTATATCCCTATATTCTCCAAGCGGATGGATCTCCTGTCTGTGCTCCTCCTAGCTGCACTAGCTTGCCCTAGCTGTCTGCGTCGGAACCTGATGAGGATTCATTTCAGTGTCGCAGACAAAAACAATCCTAACACTTCTTTACCTGTGGTCTTGCTTTGTGCGCTGTCATGCAAATCTGTTATTTTTGTGTATGTTTTCATGCAAGGAAATGCACCTTGTTTGTCTTGATTTCCCTCCGTGTTTGTTCAGATTTAAAAAAAAAACAACAACAAAAAAGAACAATGTTGATTGGTGGAGTAGATGATGTCAACATTTTGAACCAATCGAAACTGGGGGGGTGGGACTAAGCATTCAGAACTGTTGCTGTTTGGCTTAGAGCACAGAACTACGAGGTTTTCCTTGGTGAATCAATGCTGCAGAATCTGATATCCAAACATGACATTTGTGATACCATTGAAAAGCAGAGATTCTCCACTTCACGTGACGTTTTAAAGTATGTCAATAGGATTAGCGCTTCAATAGTTATTATACATTTAATAGCTATTTTCAGGCACAGGCGGCTGTCTCGGTCTTTGAGGGTTAACCAGTTCCAGCTTCTCAGAGTTGAATGTTTTCTGGTTTTCTTTGTCTTTAATGATTTTTTTTAAAGGTACACTATGCAGAATTATTGGTCATGTTTGTAAACACTCTTGCCAGTGAAAATGAAAGTAAAATCCAACCCCAGACTCACTCTCATTTGGTGTTTAAGCTCGCTATATTTGCGTTTTCTCCTGCTGCTTATGGTGTGGCACTTGGTCACTACCTTTATGTAATGCCCCGGTCTCACCTGAGCGCTGTGGGGGAACACACCCATAAATGTCCTGAACACAGAAAATAGGAGGCAAATAAGCAAACACAGGCAGAGGGCAGAGCCTCTGCAGAAACTTACACCACCACAGACTTGTAGTGGGCCATAAGTGATGATTGAGAGGGATTATTTCTGTGTTTTGTCTGAAAATCCTGCACAGTATATCTTTAACTGAACATCATTGGGCTGCTGATTGGACAAAATAAAACACTTTAAGATGTCAGCTGGAAACATAATTCATAATCATTAGTTTCAAACCTTATAACCAGCAGAAACGATGGCTACAAATATAAGAACCAAGACTGTAATAAATCTGAATTATCCTTTTGTATGCAGGTTGCTACATATGATTTACTGTAGTAGAGGTGAAAACAAACACACACACACACACACACACACACACACATGCATACAGTGCTGATGTAGCCACGATCACACTCCTGCTAGCAAAGCGTGACTCAACAGAAATCTCTGTCAGTGTCTCCTTCTCCGTCTCTGTCAACAACCCCCTTCTCATTTTCTTTCAGTCTCTCCCCTTCCTTCTCTTCACTTTCTTACGCCCATTTCCCCATCACTGGATACACACACACACACACACACACACACATGCACAGACCCTTCCAGCTTCCCCTTCAGCCTCACCCACCCTCTGTGGGCACGGTGCCCAGAGAGTCAGTATGAGCTGGGGCGAGGAGCCCCGGGCAGAGCCCCGCAGCCACACCAGCCCCCTGTAAGCCTAGAAAGAATCAGTAAAGAAGGGAAGCGAGGAAAGGGAGAAAATGAGGTGTAGGAGGAAAAGAGGGGGAAGGAGAGTGGGTTTAAAGCAGAGAAGGGAAGACAGGGAAGATGAGGAGAAGCGAGGAATCGAGCAGAGAGAGGATGAAGAGATAAGAGGATGCAAGAGCCGGGGAGACATGCAACAGAGGAGAGGATAAGAGAGGAGGGGAAGACAAAGGGAGATTAGAAAAATAGATGGATCGATAGATACAGAGAGAAGAAGAAGAAAAGATCCAGAGCAAAAGGAGAAAGTGTGAGGCAGAGGGAGAAAAAGAGAGAGCTGGGCAGGCAGCCAGATCTCCCCAGAGAGAGAGAGAGGTCAGAGCAATGGACACATCTCTGGAGAGACTGTGTGTGTGTGTGTGTGTGTGTGTGTGAGGGAGAGAGAGAGAGAGAGAGAGAGAGAGAGAGAGAGAGAGAGGGTGTGTTGGTGTGAAAGACAGCAGCTAGAGATGGAGAGAGGAGGAGAGAAGAATACAGAGGAGGAGGAGGAAGTGGAGAGCAGTGGAGCGCAGAGACGGAGAGGAGGACTTGTATAAGATACATACTGAATGCCTGAAATGCGACCTTGGAAATCCATATCTGTGTATTTGTGTGTGTGTGTGTGAGTGTGTGTGTCTGTGTGTGTGAGCGCGTGTGATTTTTCTTTGTACTTCGTGTTATACATTTAAAGGACAAGGCTGGTATTATTCAGCTTTAATCTTCTAGTCAACCAATCCAGTTAAAATCCCAAACCAGCATGATGATAGTCACTATTTTTCTGTGGCTACTTGTAACAAGGCCGCTAGGTGCGGCATAGGAAAATAACTTACCTATTCATAAGCCAATGAACTAAGCTCTGATTGGTCAGTTGTTTCTCTAACAGGCAGAAACAGCCATCGGCGTTATACTTTTGCATCGAATCAATGCCATACCTACGGCATTGGCTCACAACGTAGAGCCTATGCCATAGCCTGACATGCACCTCCCCAGAAATGTAACTACACGTCACGGCAATGCAGACCTTAAGCTGAAACCATTTCCCTCAGTGGAAACAAAGCTTTTATTTACTTAAAATTCACAGATAAGAAACAATAAATAATGAAGACAATAAAGCCTCCACAAAAATAACATTTTAAGTCCTGGCTTCATATGAGCAGAGGAAATCTCAACCAGTCGCTTGGCTAATTTATACAATGTAAAATGCCATAGGCTTGTGCTAATAATGTTAGCATGTTGTATATGTTTGGAAAACTTGTTTAGCATAAGACAGTTGCAGGAGCCGAATTTTGTAACGTTACCTTTGTTAAATGTTGTTGTTGTTCTTGGTTTCATATGAGTAGAGGAGAAGTCTGCTAGTCACTGGGCTAATTTATACAATGTAAAATGCCATAGGCTTGTGCTAATAACGTTAGCATGTTATATTTGTTTGGAAAATGTGTTTAGTATAAGACAATTGTTTTTTCATTGAACCTTGTGAGTTGTAATGGAGCCAATTTTTGTAACATTACCTTTGTTAAATGTTGCTGTTGTTCCTGGCTTCATATGAGTAGAGGAGAAGTCTGCTAGTCACTGGGCTAATTTATACAATGTAAAATGCCATAGTGCTAATAACTTTAGCATCTTGTATTTGTGGGGAAAATGTGTCCAGATAAAGACAAGTGTTTGTCTGTGAAGCTGATTTGTGTACTTGTGGTTGAAACTGTCGCTATTATGCCGTGTTTAATGTGTGTTTAATGTGTGTTTTGAATCAATTAAACTTTACAGCACTTCACAGAAACCCCACTGCCAACTAGTGTTTTGGAGGTGTAACTGCAGAGTGACACAGACACACCACTGCACAAGTAAAAATGCTCACAATGGCGAAGGCCACTTGTGCAGGCTATGGTGTAGGCTCTGCATAGAGCTGAAACACAAGTATAAATCCCACTTAAGGCATAGTTGCTCAAAGTGCAGCCCACGGGCCAGTGGTGGCCATCAGAAACATTGAAATAATAGAGAAAAATGGAAGTGATGAAAAGGCTTATGAATTACTAATGGACGTGATGATACCCATGTGAACTGGAAAACAGAGTTGGATAAATTTGTCTACAATTTGGATTTCTGGTTATGGCGTCGGGCTGAGTACTCATGGTTACAACTGCTCTGTTGCTAAATAAAACTTAATAATACCACTTAGACGATCCCATTCTGCATAAAAAGTGCCACAGAAGGTTTGTATTGACGTACCACAAGTGAACATGCCGAAGAAAGGAAACAGAGACTACAATAAGACAACTGAAGGAGGTTTTAAGAAAGACTACATGTCAGGCTCGGTTTTAGTAAAGGGAAGTGGTGCAAGCCCTTTGCAGACAGGTAACACTGACGACGCAAAGAGCATTGAAAGTCCCTCCATTTCGGACATCATTAATTTGTCTACCATTCATCATTCACGACACCCAACTGGCATTTATCATTTACAGCAAGAATTTTTGTTACTCCCACCCAAAATGTCAATCAAAAAAATCCACACCCACTAACTGGAGTTTTCAGCTCTTTTTAACCAGCTCTGTGCTCGCCAGAGCTCTCCATTCAGCGGTACGCTCATGAGCAA